GTTGGCACTAGAACAAACACAAGACCCTTCTGTCTCCATGTACTAATAATAGCTGTATTTGTTCAAAATATCAATGTGAAGCCCTTCCTTCATCCTTTCAAATTGCCAGATGCCAAAGGCAGCTAATAAATGGGAGCATTGTTTGTGGCAGGCGTTTCGTATCGAAGCTAAGGCACTACGAGAGGCAAAGCCAGACATTTCCTGGGTGGATTGGAAGAGTTTCAGTGTTACTGAACATAAGCCATGAAGAATCCACACTGTCAATGGTGCTATGAGCTGCCAGCACATTCCCAGGGTATACAGTGATATTGTTTGCTGGAATAATTTTACCTAAATGAAAATTCTACCCAAGTGTCCCTGTCACAAAGGCAGTCTCTTCTTGGAATTCAGAGTCACCTTCACAATCTCGGGCGTTTCTTGGTGCTTTGGGATGGGTTTGTGTCAGTCTGTAGAGAATACTGCTACTCATAACCTGCTACATCTGATTTTCTTCCAAATATCACTGAAAATAGTTCCCTAATGTCACCATATTTGGAGTTCCCAAACACTCCTCAATGCTCATATTAAGCTTCCCAATTCTGCCCTTGGATTTTCCCAAAGGCTTTATTCAGGTGAAGAAAGAGTTAAATGTCCCATGTAGCAAGGTGCCAAATATTCACTGCACCATCAATAAACTAACTGAGGCATATTTTCTCTTCTTGTCATCCTTAGGTTCTGCTCCTCCTCAGACTTATCCATAGCAAAAACAGACACCAAAGAAAAAAAACCTGCCCAGACATTGTGTTCTTTACAGGCTTAAATGGAAATATCGTGGAAGAGGAATGCCACTTTCCTTTTTTAATTGGTTCCTTCCATAATAAAGCAGGAAAAGGAGAAAATCACTGTTTAAATATTTATTATTTCATCTATGCCTACCAATACTTGCAGTTTTCCAGTTTTCCAAAAGGAGGTATGAAGTGTTTTTATATGCACCTAGAAAAACACTTCTACTAATACTTTCTCTGAAAGGACAGGAAGAGGAAAAGCGAGAAAAGTGGGGTCAAACTGAGCTCTCTGCACTCAGTAATTGCAGTATTCCTTAAATTGTGCTGAACTCTAACACAAACTCACACACACACAAAGATATTTTGATAAAACTGTTAATATTTTCCATTCCTTACAGTTATTATTGCAACAAATTCTGTTCTAGGCAGCAACACACATTTACCCTGACCATTCCAATTCTTTTACAGCCTTCCTTATAGACAGGATTGAGCAGCAGCTGATTTAAAGAGACATTTCAGGATCCACTGCAAGAACTACACCATTGATTTATTAGTGACACATCCATATAGCATTTAACTTCACTGCTTTGGTCCTTTACTGCTCTTTTCCTTACCATCTCCAAATGTTCTGGCTTTTTTTTCTCGATCCTGCTTTTACACTTGTGCTAGGATAGTTTTTAGTGCGCAAGTCTTTGTGTTAAGTCTCTGAAATTCTTCTTTCTGAATATTGTGGGGGGAAAAACATCACTGTTTGGGAAAAGAAGGGCAGGAGAGTCAGGGAACGCTTTCAGGGGAATTTTCTGCATGTGGAAAGGCACTGCATTGACAAGTCTCCCGTGTTACCCTTTGGCAGTATCACATCCAGATCATGTATCCAAGAGTGTACAGAATGGACCCTTCAGCACAGGATGTCAGATGCACACCCAGCCAGAGGGAAGTGAGTTGTGGAAACAGGCAGAGATTCCCTGAAAGCCCTAGGCTGAAGTGGGCCTGCCTGGATCATCAGACAGCAAGGAGAGAAGAGAAATCTTCAGGGGGGAAAAAAAAGAGAGGGGTCTCGAAAAAAAGTAGCATCTTTATCGAGGGGATACCACTCAGTTGTAGGTTTTCCTCAAGCTCTGCAGGACAGAGCCCCAGGCAGAGGAGATGTTATGGAGCAGATCAGGGAAGCCCTTAGGTGGCTCTCTGCTCCAGGCTTTCCACCAGGCTGAGACAACATCATGTTTTTAGATCAGCTGCAGCTAAACCTTTTAAGTTCCTTTAACTTGTTTCCTTCCGCAGCCCACAAGAAAACTTTCCAAACAGACATTAAAAGGTTGGCTTGCTTGTGTTTTAATGCACAAGGAAATTTTTCAATTGTCTCAGCTGTTTGTCCCCAACCCTGCTGGGACCAGAATTTGGCAACATTATAATGCGAGGGAAAGGAATAATGATGAGTGTTTCACTTCAGGTGTCAGCGCTGTTGTGTTCCTAGTGAACAACAGGGACATGAGGCACACACACCACTGGTCTGAAGTGCTTCCTAGAAAACTATGTAAGAGGTCAAAACTAAATCTTCATTTCTCCATATTTTCCATCCATTGTTTTAAATAATTCTCTAGAGACAGTGCTTCGTTAAAAGAACAAAATGTGGGCAATGCAAACTGGAAAGAGGAGACGGTCAGTGCTGCTCCTCTAGAATTTTCTGCAAACAATTAGTGTCAGAACTACTTCTTTGGTGAAATTGCTTCATCCCTGACCTGGGGAATGGATCACAGCAGTCTAAAATGAGCCCCCTAAAGCATCAGAACTTGTCTGAAACATGGTGAAATGAATCCTGTGGCAATCCATGGCTATAAAATGTTCAGAAGGGGCTGGCAAGGAAAAAGGGGGGGAGGAGGAGTTTGCTCTCTGTGTAAAAAATGTGATTGACTGCACAGAGCTGCTCGTGAAAAATAGTGATGAACAAGTTGAGAGCTCGTGGGTAAGAACTGGAGGGCAAGCCAACAAAGGAAACCTTGTAGTGGGTGTTTACTACAGGCTGCTGATCAAGGGGAGCCTGTTGACAAAATGTTCATCCTCGCAGGCTCTGATCCTGCTGGGAGGCTTCAATCATCCTGGCACCTGCTGGAAAAGGAGCACAGCAATCTGCAAGCAATCCATGAGTGTCTTGGAGTGCAACAAGGATAATTCCTTAATCCAGGTGGATTAATAGACAGTGGAACCAGAGAGGAAGTGTCACTAGACCTGTTGCTTGCCAGCACAGATGAACTAAATGGGTTTTTTTTGATTGTTTTGTTCATTTATTTTTATTTATGTTTTCAAAATGTTAGAGATGTCAATATTGGTAGCAGCCTGGGCTGCAGTGATCATGTCCTGGTGGGTTTCACAAGCCTGAGGTAGAGTCAGGATACTGAATTTTAGAAGAGCAAGCTTTCTGTTGTTTAAGGAATTAGTGGATGGGACCCCCTGCCCACCTCTCCTCAGGGATGAAGGAGCAATATACAGTGCTGGCTGCTCTTTAATGACATATTTCTTAAAGCACAAGAGCTCTCAATTCTTCTCTTGGAACAGTTGTTAGAACTGTACAAATTAAATGCCCAGGGAGACTGGTGTGACCATAGTTTCAGATTAAATCACTACATTGTTGCAATACTATTATTGGACTGGGAATGTTAGCTGTCTTTGCTGCAAAGCATGAAACTAAAAATATGTTTATAACTTGTAAAGTTGAAGAAAAAGAAGTAAGTATGTGTAAATATATAAAGTTTTTGGTGATTGCAGTCTGCTGGTGTTTGGATAAGGCCATGGATTGTGTTTTAAGTGATGTTTGAACATTACACTGATACTTGAAGCTGCCACATGCACCACTGTGCATCTTAATATCTGTGACTGAATCATAAAGGAAAATAGAACAGTACAGAAGTCAACAGTAAGTTACAAGACTGTTTTTATTAAGACATCAAAATTCTTCTAAACAGACTCAGTCACAACAGCAGCTTCTGCTGAGCGTGCAAAGCATCAGGGACAAGCTACTGCTTTGCATTTCCTCTGAAAACTAGTGCTCAGCTTTTGTAAATGGCATAACTGCACCAAAATCAACAGGCAGATATCTAGTCCTGCCACCTCCAAGGAGTTCAGGACTGTAAGTACTAAAAACTAGAAAAATAGTTGTAATAAAATAGCTTATTCTTTCACTGTGTGCAGAAGGCAAACATATTACATATTTGAGAGAAAACTGAGCAAAAGTTAAGAAACTCCTACATAACAAAACTAAGGGATATTTTGAGAAGTTGTGGACTCCCCATCCCTGGAAGTGTTCAAGGCCAGGCAGGATGGGGCCCTGAGCAACCTGGTCTAGTGGAAGGTTGTCCCAGGGACCTGGAGCTAGAGGGCCTGTAGGGCTTTAAGGTCCCTTCCAACCCAAACCATTCTATGATTCTACATTCATCAGACTCTAAGATTGCAAAGATAATTTAGTTTCACTGATGACAACTACATGATTTTTATATATATGTGTATATACATATCTCAAGATCTGGTATAGTAGCAATAAAAGACAAGTCAAAGTGTTTTACTCCTTACAGAGTCACTTAACTCTAAAGACCAATGCAAATGACTAACTCTGAAATGTATTTAAGTATTTAAAAGGCGTATATGAAACCCTTAAGATCCATTATTATCACCTTCTGCAAAATGTGGAAGTCTTTTACCCAGTTAATCTTATTACCTAACAGAAATCAGACTAGGGGGATAGAAAAGCAACTTCTCTATTCTATTCTGTACCAAAAAATCAGCACCTAACTGCTTTGACTACTAGAAGTGTTCATGCCTTCAGGTTAAGGATCAATTTCCATGAAGAGTTATTCATAATGGTGTCCACTGGTATTGAGGAGGAATCAGTTTGCACACTATAAATTGCTGAATTAGGTGTGACCCAGACACAGCAGACTGTCACTATAGGGGAGGAGTACATGCAGCAAACAGAGTAAAGAGGAGGTGGGACAAGTTACAACACCATTTCACTCTCCATCTTCCAACACGCTCCCTGAAGTGGAGTTTTGGGGCAGCAGAGAGGAGCCCTTCAGGAAAGAATCCTGCAGGAGATGCTTACTGTGTGGAAAAGGCTTTTATTGCAGTTTATCCAGCTGAACAAACTGTTGTTGTACCCAGTGTACCAGCTCAAGCACATAAACTATTCAGCTGCAGTTGGAGTTCTCTCACTTGTGGCTTGACTGCACAATCATTATGGTCTAATTAACAGAATATGCAGGTACCAATGGACTTATCTGGGTAACCATGGGCTGCCAGCAGCAAAATCGTTTCTTTTTTCTCTTCTCTTTTTCCACTGAGTCCTTGTCGATTACAGAATTTACGACCAAATCCCAAAATCAGGGTGCTGAAGAACACTCTGAGCAGGTTTAGCCCCAGATCCACTGTGCCTCTTCCTTACTTGGTGGCAAATCCAACGCTTGTTCTCCAGATTCTCTGTATACTTAAGGCGTTGCACAATTAGATCTTTAACGTTGTTGCAGCTCAAAGTTTCCACCTCACCTTAAGTAAACACTGAATTACGAAGTAAAAAAGAGATTTCTCTGCAGGTTTGATGATTCACTGCCTGGAATATTTATAGAAACATGCAGCTTGTCAATAGTAAGGGCACAAGTGATGCTCAGAGGGGCACATAGGGCTGTGGCACAGTGAGAGAGTCAAATCTTGGAATTTTAATAATGAGGTATTTGGGTTTTCCCCTCTATTTTTCCCACGGAAAAAACTGCCAGAATTCACTTGCAGCTGGAGCTGTAGTCATTAATAGTTCTTAGGACACCAGGGAAGAGTCAGATTGCTAAGAAAAAAAGAGGGAAAAAAAAAAAAAAAGAGGGTATAGAAGCCCTTTATGTAGGATATTAATTTGGAAGAATCATTTTTGCAACACCACAAACAGACCACTACTGAGAAGAGCAATGAAAGCCAGATGCTGAGTGAAGACAAGCTTCAGTTCTCCGTATGATGAGACATGATCCCACTAGAAAAAAAAATTAAAACAAACTAATCACGATTGAGAAATCAAACAACTTCCAAAGAAAGTTAATATATAGGAAAGAAGAGCTGAGTAGCTCCAGCTTCTAAAAGGAGCCATTAGCTGAGACTCCAACATGGTGTGTAAGCATCATGAGCCTGGCAAAATCATTTATGCTGCCCCCTGTTTGCACAACTCCAGAATTCCCACTGCTATCAGGTATTGTAAACACCCAGGACCACTCAGGAGAGCAGGGTGATGAATATAAGACAAGCCATTCTTCTCTGTGTGGAGAGGCTCAGGGGCTTCATAGGTAGGTTTTAACTTAACGAGGGAGCCCCCGGTGGTCCAGGGGAAAATTCACTGCACTGTCACTGCAGAGACCCGGGTTCGATTCCCGGTCGGGGCCCCTCCCCGGGCAGATGGAGCTCGTTAGCCCGTAAGGCAATCCATCTACGTCCTGAGGACCTCGCTGCCACCGTCCAAGCGTGCTTGGCCCCGGCAGATGAACCTCAGGATTAAAGGGTGGGCTCAGTTCCGCGCACACTGTGTCTCACCTAAA